AATTTGCCGTTCGATCTGACCCAATTTAATCAATTAAATTTATTCTTGCCTTGATCCATTATTATTTTTAGATAATCAAAATGTTTTCGAGTCTTTTTATTTTCTCCCGAATTTTGTTTTGGAAATTAAAGAGACTATTAGTTCAATAAAAAATATTAATGTTGAGGGATGGGATGGTATTCAAACTAAACATTTATCACATCTGCCAGAAAATGTCTTGGTACTGGCAGACTCTATTAATGCCTCATTCAGTTCTGATATTTTTAGTGTTTGTCTGTAGATTGCTACAGTACCCTTGTATTCGCTCTGTGCGAAGTCATGGAAAGGGAAGCAAAAGCGATACTAGCGCTAGCTGCGGATAATTTGTGCATTTTAGGGCGATATTTTGTAATTTTCGCATATCAAATACACGTATACATTTTACTTTTTTTCAAAAAGTAGGTAAAAACAACACAATAAGCAACCGGAGTTGCGGTATTGAAAATTGTACAAATAGCAAAAAAAACATTGAAACTTATATAAGAAACTTCACTAGCAAAGTGGAAATTAAATCAAAGAAATAAACGGATAGGTGTACAATAAGACGAAAAATTATCTTTATTTTTGTGATAATAACAGTAATGCTGGAAATAGTAGAGATCAGAAACTTGAAAGGTTTTAAATAAACAATAAATTATCATTTTACGATGTTCTTTAATATCCCTCTATTCTTAAATGTTCATTCAGCAAGGACTAGATTTCAAGATTTCTGCCTTTGATTATAATATGTGACTGGAATGCAATTTTTTGACTGATGGAAAACCAGTTTTAATCATTCATTCTATGTTTTCTTTCGAACAAAAATGAAACATACATTTTAACTTCACGCTATTAATAAATGGTATTTTTACTTTCCTATCTGTATACAGATATAAGGAAAGTATAGGAATCATGATTTTTTTCGACCTCGAGTTTTCGACGGATTTTTACGTTTTGAGGTCCCCTGAATCCGTTTTGACTATTTTCGCGATGATGTCTGTGTGTGTGTGTGTGTGTCTGTGTGTGTGTGTGTCTGTGTGTGTGTGTGTGTGTCTGTGTGTGTGTGTGTCTGTATAACGCATAACTCATGAACCGATACACAGAAAAACACCAAATTTTAAACTTAAGCTTTGTTTCAGCGTCTTATGAGCTGATTAGATTTTGGGCAGAGTCGGAACATTTGGGGGGGTACTTTATAGGTGGTCATTTTTATATTTTATGGAATATATCTGTTATTTACGTTTGGAGAAGAAAATTCTTTAAATAAAAGTTACTTCTAATATTATTATCTATAATTTTTGTTCTATACAAAATTTTCCTAAAATGGTCCGTATTCGAGAAATTTGACAAAATGTAAAAAAAAATATTTTTTTATAAAAATTGTTCAAATAAAAGTTGTTTGTAATATAATTCTCTATAATTTTTATTCTCTACATAATTTCTCTAAAATGGACCGTATTCGAGATATTTGAGAAAATGTGTAAATTTCGAATTTTGAAGAAAATTCAAAAACGGATAAAGAAAAAAACATTAAATTTTAAACTTAAGGTTTATTTCGGCCTGACGTGAATTGATTAGATTTTGGACAAAGTCGGAACATCTGGGGGGGTACTTTATGGGAGGCCGTTTTTATATTTTATGGAATATATCTGTTATTTATGTTTGGAGAGGAAAATTGTTCAAATAAAAGTTACTTCTAATATTATTATCTGTAATTTTTGTTTTATGTAAAAATTTCCTGAAATGGTCCGTATTCGAGAAATTTGACAAAATGTGCAAAATTCTGATTTTTATTATGAAAGTTTTTGAAATAAAAGTTGTTTGCGATATCGATCTCTATAATTTTTGTTTATACATGATTTTTCTAAAATGGACCGTAATGAAAAAATTGTAGGAAATTAAAATTTTTCAGTATTTTCGTTTTCCATGAATATCTATAGAAAAATGTTTCGAGGTAGATGTATGTGGACAATGTATATATTTAGTTTATCCTCTAAACATTTATATAACTAGATAGGAAAGTCATGTGTTGGACACATCAGATTTTTTATTTTGATAGAATAGGTTAATTCTTCAATGACAACTTATTAGACTTAGGCAACTTCTCATACATTTTCCAGTAAATACTGTTGCCTGCCTATATTTTATTATTAATTTTTATTGAATATACATAATGTTCTTAAATTTAAGCGGGAAAAATATATAATAATACAGTTCATCAAATTTCTAGAGGTGTTCGACGCCCAGACAGAGAACGCGCTACGTGTGACTAAGATAGCTATTGTACAGTCTGCTTAACCAAGTTATTTTAAATAGTTTTTAATATTTTTAGGTAATTAAATTTTAAAAGTGTGGAATAGTTTAGGGATTAAATTGGTCTGATTGGACTTTCTTAGAACGTTTTTAAAAGCAGCTAAAGATAGTATGTAGAATTGAAAATAATTATTATGCCATAAAAGGTGTTTTGGAATTCCTTCAACCTTTTGAAATTGAGTTAGAAAATATAAATTTTATAGGATAGCGGAAAATACCTATAATTTTTTTGTAGGCCTTTGTAAATCGTGGAAATAGTTTATATTTTATTTCTACCTTATTAAGGAAAATGGTACCTATTATTAATAACGGTTGTTTCTGAAACATTACTAAAATTTTCGAAATTTTGTTTTTCTACAAAATAATAAACTATACTATTTAGAAAAAAATTTATTTCTCTTATAATTTTATAAAAAATAACAGGGGAATATTTACATTTCTTGATCTATTAAACAAAACGATAAATTATCTCGACGAATGACACCATGTTCTAGTACGGAAGCTAGCTTTGCATTTTTGTTGGTGGTTTCATGGGTTTCATATCAATTTTTTGTAATTGTAGTTTACACGTACATATACCTCTTAACACTTGTTTGCTTTATTAAAAAAGTGTGTTGTTGTGATTTACGTCGAAATAAGTCAAAAACAACTTGAAACCCCATATAAAATCAAAAAGGAGAAACGGAAAAAAATTGAGCCTGTAAATGAACACAACTCAGAAACAAAAATAGCTATCTAATAATAAAAAAATAAAATTTGATTCTTGTGCAGCTTCATCTATATCATTAACTGTTTTTGGTTTTTTGATGGTTTTTCTTGGTGATGAAAATTCCGATATCTCACGGTTATCGATTCTTTTTTTCTCTCCAGAAATGCGGACGACAGTGTTTTTAGATACTCCTGTGGCTGCAGAAACACGATCATTTACATTTTTAAATGGTATTGAAGGTGAATTAAAGTTTCCTTCTCTTCTCATAAACTCTATAACATTGACTATTATTTCGCGAGATTGACTGTTAATCACGCGGCCTCTTAATTTGCTATTAAACTCCATACTTAGGTTCTATTAAACTGTAATGAGCAAAAAACACAAACGAAAATAAAAGAAATGTTTTAGCGAAATTTACATCTGACATTTACGTCTGAATGAAATAGTGAAATACTTGATGCGCAGAGTGTACTTTCATTGCGTAAATCCGTCGGGATGCCTGTCAGTAGTGCTTTCTCTGTCTAGCCGTCGAAAGCCTCTAGAAATTTGATGAACTGTAATAATAATAAATTAATGTTTTACTTGTTTTACAAATCCATATACTTTTATTAAAACTAACATATATACATTTTATTTACGAATTCTATTAAAAATTGTATTTGTCAGTATAAGCAGAAATAGTCCTTTAATGCCAAAACAAATTGGCGCTGCTGTCGCGCACGGAGCGAATAAAGGTGATCATAAAACTCCTTTAAATTTCCGTCTTATATCTTTGTTACCGACAATTTTAAAAATAGTTCGAAAACTAGTAAAGAAAAGAAAGCCGAATTTTCTTAATAATAATTATTCTCTAGTTTCTAATCTTCAATTTGGATTTCAGCCGGGTAAAATTAATACTTTATCTGGAAATAAATGAGGCAATATGGCTGCAGCGGTCTTTTGCGATAAGTCAAAAGCGTTTTTTTTTCAAGGAAATTGGAAAATACGGTTTTCAGGCATCTGTGTTAAATTGGTCTTATAACAGTCATCGTCCAGTCAAGCTAAGCTACAATGTGATGTTCAGCAAGGATCAGAGCTAGGCTCCATTTAATTTTTACTTTATTTCAATTAGTTTATTTTGATGAGAAGTTCTGGAAGCTAAGATTAGGACGGACACCATAAACATCAGGAGCTGGTGTGAAGCCAACCGTTAATTATTTAATATCGCAAAAACATTTAATGGACGATCTCAGAATTGATAGAGTTTATATAATAAGTTTTTATTACATAGACTTAAATTCGCTAACCATATTAAAAATCTTTGCAAGAAGTTGTCCTCAGGTTGTCATGCAGTTAGATTTATTTCTCTAAATTTGGGGTCCGTATAAGATTAGGAACGTCGGAATTTTGAAAAAAGTACCCATCCCATATTAGTAAATTAAAAAAAAATTGCGGAAAACCTCACATCTTTCTGAGAAAAAATTAATTAAAATTTAAAGTATTTTCTTACCTTATATTTCGTCATTTGAAATGTTAAGGTGTAAGTTGCAATTTATATACAGAGTATACAAAAAGTATTGTTTGTCTATTAAAAAAAGTCCTGATGGATCCCTGGACGAGAAGCGAGTGACCCCGTCATATATTGTTTTTCTTCTTCTTACACCTCTTGCTGTTAGGAAATATTCTAATTATGAACGAATCTGTGTCTGGCTGAATGGCAATGTGCCTATGCCAAAAATAATATCCGTTCAGTAGACTGATATGGCCTGCTTATTAGTTCTGTAGTCGGTGCAATAGAATAAACAATATATATGTGGGTATAGAAAATATATATAATTTCAAAATAAAAGAGTTTGTAATTAACCGGAGTTTTTGTGAATGTTGCAAGTTAACAAATATCATACCTACTCGCAGGAAATGCTCATTTAACAATTATACTCTTTTCACTGTAACACATTGAAACAAATAAATTTTTCGACAGAACTCCATTTGCGGTTGTTTTCTGGCAATGGGTTAATCAGTCTTTTAATGCTCTAGTCAATTACACGAATCGTAATGCCAAATCTCCTACCTCCACAACTCAGCTAGCAGTTGCATATGTTTCGGCAACTTCTTCTGCCATGATCACGGCCTTGGGATGCAAGTACTACTGGAGTAAGCACGCTACTCCATTTATGCAGGTATTAAATGCAACCTTGCTTGTAAAATAGCTTTGTTTTAATAAATCTATGAACTTTTTAGAGGTATGTGCCATTTGCTGCAGTTGCAGCAGCAAATTGTGTTAACATCCCATTAATGCGGCAAAATGAAGTTCTTTATGGTATTGACTGCAGTGACGAAAAAGGTAGAATTGTAGGACAATCTAAAGTGGCTGCTATCAAGGGAATCTCTCAAGTTATATTCTCCAGAATTGTAATGTGTGCTCCTGGAATGTTGATTCTTCCTGTTATTATGGAGAGAGCTGAAAAACTAAGATTTATGCAAAGGATCGTGTTCTTACACGGACCTATACAGGTTATGGGAGTTGGATGTTTGTAAGTGATATCTTATAATTAGAAACGAACAATATTGATGAAATATTTTTTTCAGCTTAACATTTATGGTACCCACAGCTTGTGCTCTATTCCCGCAAAGATGGTAAGTAATTTTTTTGTCTCTAAAAAGTGCAGTGCTTCCTTTACAAACTACCACTTTTATATGAATTAATAGTGTAGTGCAAGTCAATCGAAATTATGCTTTCCGTGGCGGAGGGGGGGGGGGGGGCGGGCTGAGTGTCACATGCTAAATTGTTAATTTATGGAAAACTAATATTTTGGAGATTCTAAAACCGGAGGTACCTAATCCAAAATTAAACTGCACAGAAAGACACTATTTTCAAAAAATGATATATTGGTACCACCGCATAGAGCGTAACGTGTATTATTTGTGTGTAATATTTTAAACATTTACGGCCCTAAAAAACTAAAAATGCGAATTTAAATATTCTGAATTTATTGGTACATGTTAGATTTTATTAAGTCAAATAATTGTTTACCTGCTAACACGGCCATACTGATCTATATTTCGCTCTCGAAATATTCTCTTTTTTATGTAAAGACTGGTAATTAATTTGTATTATTTTAATTTATAAAAATATTAAACAAAAAGAAAAGACGTATCAAATAAAAATAACTAAGTTTCCTGCTCATCCTCTCGTCACCTTCTTAGACGAGGCAAAACCTTGCATTTTCAAATAAGTGACACATGTCTTATAATTTCTAACACTTTATTCAAGATTTTAAAATATTTTAAAACACAATCTGCTCTTCGGATATCAACAATATCCGTCCGTCTTTTTTCGATTTATATATTTTTTAAATCATTTAAAATAAAAGCTGTGCTCCTCGGATTTCAATAATATCCGTCCAGCATTTTTCACTCTACTAGTCACGAAATGCTTACCACTGCCATCGCGTGGTTAAACAACAAGTCATCTAGTAGGTCTCGGGCAGTTCATATATCAGGCAACAAAACATAAAGGAAAAACCAAAAACAAAATAATTACTTGCTAACACCGCCCATCCAGGACAGTACAACTTACCGATTTTTTTTAGTGATTGTGAATCCTCAGATTCCTCATACCATTTACCAGACCACATTTATAAAACATAAAGCTTGCACGATGACAATTATACTATATTTAATATTTCAAAAGATTTCACTAAATTTGTGCTAAGCAGACAAAATAAAAGCAATAATCAAAAAGGAAAAACTTGTATTTCGTGCAAAACTTTTTTATTAATCAATGCAAAGCGCTTTCGGCTTATTTGCCATCATCAGTGCTCATCTACAAAAATTGTGGATGTAAACTTACAATTTAAAAAGATTTAAAAAAAAAAAAATATTATAAAATCTGAATTAGACTTTTAAGTCAAAAGTTAAAATAGTATATATACAATTGTTTGAACAAATTAAAAATTACAAGAAACAAACAAAGTGACAAAAAACTGGTATTGGGAATAGTGAGTGTGGGATAAGCCCTTACAAATCAAATCTGATCTCCAGAAGCAAGTTAGCTTGTGTGGAATTAAGGAATCATGCCACCCTCACTATTCACAAAATTGAAAAAAGGTTAACAAATTAGTTAAAATTTAAAGAAATTTACAATTAGAGGGTGACTGTGGAAGATATATTGAAATTTGAATCTAGAATGCAATATTTGATATGAAGAAAGTAAAACGCAGAAGGCCAAAGTAAAAAACTCAAGGTTTTTTTTATATGTTTTATATACATTATAATTATGAAAAAGTCTACCTACTGTCCACAACGTATCCAACAAGTTCCTGGTCATCCTCACTCCCAAAATTATATATTTCGGGATATTTACAACTTGCTAAATCATAATTTTATTAATATTAATATTTTCAAATTTAAATTTATCTCTTCATTTTGGTTCAAGTTGTTTAACCGTTTCCACATGACAGTGGTGACAAGCGACACTTGAAGACTTTGACTTGTCAAATGTCAACAGGAGGTGCGTCACCTCAGTGTGGAACATGTTTCTCCGAGTGTGTCTTGACATCAAAATAATAATATCTTTTATATTAAACATTTATTTAAATTTAACTAACAATAAATTAAATCTTTAAATTCAATAACAAATTTTGATCTCCGTTAACCTCCAATCACTCGAATCACATTCGGAGAAACATGTTCCACACTGAGGTGAACGCACCTCCTTCTGTTGACATTTGACAAGTCAAAGTCTTCAAGTGTCGCTTGTCACTGTCATGTGGAAACGGTTAAACAACTTGAACCAAAATGAAGAGATAAATTTAAATTTGAAAATATTAATATTAATAAAATTATGATTTAGCAAGTTGTAAATATCCCGAAATATATAATTTTGGGAGTGAGGATGACCAGTTTTTTACTTTGGCCTTCTGCGTTTTACTTTCTTCATATCAAATATTGCATTCTAGATTCAAATTTCAATATATCTTCCACAGTCACCCTCTAATTGTAAATTTCTTTAAATTTTAACTAATTTGTTAACCTTTTTTCAATTTTGTGAATAGTGAGGGTGGCATGATTCCTTAATTCCACACAAGCTAACTTGCTTCTGGAGATCAGATTTGATTTGTAAGGGCTTATCCCACACTCACTATTCCCAATACCAGTTTTTTGTCACTTTGTTTGTTTCTTGTAATTTTTAATTTGTTCAAACAATTGTATATATACTATTTTAACTTTTGACTTAAAAGTCTAATTCAGATTTTATAATATATTTTTTTTAAAAATCTTTTTAAATTGTAAGTTTACATCCACAATTTTTGTAGATGAGCACTGATGATGGCAAATAAGCCGAAAGCGCTTTGCATTGATTAATAAAAAAGTTTTGCACGAAATACAAGTTTTTCCTTTTTGAATCTAAACTACGTGCACACAGCTGTCAACCTTTTTTGTTTTTTTTTTAAAGCAATAAGTTCAGAGGTACTCCTCAAATATTTGGCTGACCTATACTTAATTTCTTTAATCACAAAAACAAAAGCTTTAAATTAAAGTTCAGAGGTACTCCTCCTCAAATATTTAACTGACCTATACTTAACTTTTTTTTACTCACAAAAGCAAAAGCTTTAAATGGAAGTTCAGAGGTACTCCTCAGAGATTTAACTGACCTGTACTTAACTTTGTTACTAACTAAAAACAGTTCAGAGGTACTCCTACGGGATTAACCTGACCTGTACTTGACTTTCTGGTAACATGAAAACAACATTAAGTTCAGAGGTACTCCTCAGGGATTAACCTGACCTGTACTTAACTTTCCGAATGGTAGAATTAACAGTTAATCGTAATTTGGAAAGAGCACTCGTCCATTCTGACAAATTTCGAACTTCAACAATTAATAAATTAATTATTGTTACAACATACCTTTCAACTTGCCCAGTAGCGCCCCTGCTATAATTTAATGACGCTTAATATTTATATTTACGAATAAGGATTTTTTTATCGGTAAAATTTGTTCCACGGTTAATTATAATACGTGCCAAACATCGTTATATAATTCTCTAATGTTTTAGACATTTCTGCTCTGGTTAACGTTTTTTTTAAAGGGTATAGAATTACATATCTCGTAAAAGCATTGACGATAAATAAAGCGTGTTTAAAACCATCTGTGGTTATTTGTTATTTTAAACTACGGCTCAACACAATAGGAATTGTATGAAACGGAATATTTATTTTTAAGCAAGTTCAGATATAATTTCCCAAACCTTTTCTTTTCTCTTTGCCGACAAACGGTACGTGTGATTAATGACTTGGTCACTAGATAATTATTTTTAACTCAGTGGTATTTATTGTTGAATAGTTATTTCCAAATTTAAACAAATTTAACAATAAATGTTTAAGTTACTTTGCGTTTTGTTTTTCTAAGCTTTTCTCAGCCAGTTATTGATAAAGATAATATAAATTCCTTTTAATGAAGAAAACCTTTTTTTTCTCTACCAAAATTCAAAATTATACGACTTCAAATACACACACTATCCTTCTAAAATAGCGCAGTAGATCACAAATTTCGGAACTTATACCATTGCATTCAATTCTTAATGGTATTTTACTATTTTTAAAAGTTATGTTGCGTACATCTTTTAACGTTATCAGTGCTTTAAATTACAATTGGAAGCTTTTGCCATTCTACAGATTCTACACCTTTCTCCGGCATCTATCAAAACTATTATTAAAAACTATCAAAACCAATAAATAATATAATTTATTCTAGAGCTAGATGGTTGGTAGGTTTCTTTCTAAAACAATAAGCTCCATAGTGGCATTTTTTTTTAAACACGAAAATAACATTTCTATCGGCTACATATAATTATTTGCCTCTAGAGGATGACAGTGTTTCAAATTAATACCACCAATATCGCCAATATAGGACGACGATATTTGTAATTTAACAATATCTATTATACACTTGGGCGGTAATATTTAGTTATTTAATCAATGTCAGGAAAAACTAGAAATTAATTCAATAAACGATTTAATAACTTTAAATTGGAAGATAAAATTTAGAACAAAATAAAATTATTTAGAAATAAGAATTAAATGTAAAAAAAATAAAACGTAAATAAAATAATAGTAAAATAAAATAGATAAAATAATTAATGCACGTATGAGATGGCGTACCTGAAATAAAAGAAAAACAAGTATGAGCAATCAAGTTTACCAAAAGCAGCTTTATATTAAAGAAAGTCATGAAAAGGTGATATCCATAAACAAAATACTTATTATCCTTTTAATTAACAAGAAAATTATACTGATAACTCTTTATATCAAAATATTGATTTGTCCATAATTGACAAAAGTTATATTCTCAATTCTGTAGGCACTGACCGCAATGCCCAAACATCGATCGATATATAAAAAGCCATTACTAGCACACTGACCGCAATGTACTACGCCAGAACAGACAATCTAACTCACTTTACTTTTGATTAGACCTCGTAGAGGAAAACAAAATATAAGTAAATAGTCAAATTCAAATAAGTTTTAATTATTTAATATAACCCTGTTAATTTAGGATATAAGGTTTTCTCAATACTTGACAAAATATTTTTACGTCAGAATTGACAAATTAACTATAAAAGGTTAATGGATAATAATTGGGTAATATAATTTGCAAAATAACTTGATTACAAATTAAAACAAAACTAATTGATAAAACATAATTACTCAGTGAGAAAAACTCACCCTGTTCAGCAAACAGCCACTCACAAAAATTATAATTATTCACTAGTTTTTTTTTTTATTATTATTATTATTATTATTATTATTGGAATGAACTTTAATTTTGTTCCGCAAAGCAACTAACTCAAATTTAAAATGATCTGTATTTTATGTCTGGTTGATTATTTTACCCTTAGTTCCAATATTCGTAATTCGATACCTCCGTATCTTAATAGTGTTAACATAAACATAGTCTGTGGCTGTTTTGGAAGACAAATATTTCGTGCGTTTAAAAACCGGGTGTTTCGTAAAATAAAACTTAATAAATTTGTATAGAAAATAAAATCATTCTTACACCAATAACAATTTCAAACAATTATTAGTCAACTCACAAATTTAACGAAATAACACAAAAAAGGACATTCGCCAATATGGCCAATAACAATCTCAAACAATAAATCAATTGAAAAAAATTAACGAATTAATACAAAAATGACATTCGCTAATATGGCCAATAGCAATCTTAACAATCAATCAACTGATAAATTTAACGAATTAATAATCTTGGAAGTACTCACAGGAATAGTCAACCCCCAGGTACTTCCGTAGCACTTTTAGTGAGCGAATCCCACTTCTGATGTTAAGATTTTAATTATTAATTCAAATGATTATTTAGTTTAGTCATTACCGATAGAACACAATGCGTGAGAATCAGCTAACAGCAACAACAGCTGATTACACTAGACACTCAAGGCGACTCAAATCGTTCTGTCTGGGGAAGCGCAGACGACGGGCAGCTACTGCCTTCGTTCCCCGCACTCCCCGCTCTTGACTGCCGATGTTCTCTACAATATTACAATTAGTAATTAGTAGATACACATTTGTTTACCTGTTAACATACACGTCATGGGACAGGGGACAACATTTTCAACTTTAACAATTATTTCTTCGGCCTCCAGTGATATCTGAACAGTGGTAAAGTTTAAAATTGAGTAATAAAAAAATATGACTGTTATACTCCATTTATCAAATAGCACCATACTATTATTACACAAACTATTTTCAGACTAATTATTTATTGATTGAAAATAGTTTTCATGATCGATCTATTTGAGAAATATAATTATTGCAAGTATTAAAATGTTTAAAATACTTGATACATCGTTTTGGTATTTTGAACCTAATTTTAAAAGAGAATAATATATATTTTAACTTTGGTTTTAGTTCAATTAAAACATCAACAATAGCTTGGTTGGAACCAGAGGAATATGAAAAAATAAAGAAAAACTGTGGTGACAAAGTTCCAGAACGGGTCTACTTTAACAAAGGCTTGTAATTTTTTTTCAAATAAGTGGAGCAGACAATAATCTCATAGTAAATTAAGTAGAATTAACCTGGTATCACTTTCACTGTAAAGTATACGTAATCAAAAACTGCACTGATTTAATTTAAAACAAAATGAATAAAAACCAAATTTTTTAAGAAACATGAATTATTAAATGCCAATAAAAACACGATAATTAATTTTAAGTGTAACTTTGCAAGTTTGTTAATTCGATGGTTTGTCAAAAATGTTATTTAGTCAGTTAGTAGTAACGTATTTAGTGTGATGTTAAAATTAATAATTGACATAAGGTTATTTGCTATCTAACAGCATCTGAAAATTGAATAATATTTAACTTCATGTTATGTTGTTTTTACATTGTTTTACAATACTTTTATCTTTTTAATTTTTGATTGTAATGTCTAGTGGCTTTTCACGTATTTAATTTTCTAACGCTAAATGAAAATAGGCTCGATTGGTAGCCTATTGAGTGAATTTCGGTTTTATCAATTTAATTAAGGACATTCAATAATAAGTAGCAAATAATGTAAAATATGAATTTATATATAAGCAATCTGATGTATTTCTCATTTGCCATTTTAAGCTTTAATTGCGCTTTGTACTTACTGATTGTTTTAATTTATTTTTAATGAAAAGCCACTATTTTACGTGATATTTATGCAATAATTTTTGTTTTTTATTTATTGTTGAATTTATGTATGAACGAAAAAATAAAATTTTACATTACATTTACCTTTGTATCAATTAAAAATAATATTAAGTAGATTGTATATTAATTAATATATAATAACTCATCATCAATCGTTACATTTAGACATATAATTTGTACAATATTTCCTAAATAAAGACAAGCTTTTTTAATTTGGACATCCATTAAAGTAATTTTTTATTAGCACATTTTCAAATTGTACAATTTTCTATTTCACACATATTACTGAAGCCCATACCTATAGGGCATCAGTATTGCATTCGTGCCGACGAAAAAAGATTCTTACTTCTACTTTTTGATACGTTTTTCCACGTTCCGATCATTCTTAGTCTGAAAATGCAAAAAAACTAGTTTGGTTGTCTCTACGTCTATGCACGATAACTCTAGAATGAAAGCTACGATTTTATTAAAGAAAAGTTGCATTCTTATTAAATTCAAAATCCTTCATTTAGCGAAAAATTTACCAAATAATTAAATCTTATTTACACCTAATAAATAATATCTATAACCCTGCCCGTAAGAGATCCAATTTCTTACAAGTGTCTGTCAACCCGATCTAAAACCATACAACATAAGTTGTCACGAAGTAATAATCATTGAAACATACTTAACGCACTTATCATAAGTCAGTTTTGAATAGGAACGTTGTTTTTGATACACAAACTTTTCAAAGCAAGTAATAAATCAGCCACCCCCTATCCACCCAAGTTCGTTCACACGAGAAACTGACGTCACAAAAAGTAATTAAATCGAGTGTAAATACCCGATTTAAGGGGGCTCGAGAGGCATTAAGAAATCAAACTCAGTTCAGTTGAGTTCGAACTCCAGTCGTATTATTCTTCAAATTAGTAGTAATTCAAGTTCAGTACCTTTCCTAAACCCACGCAGTTCATATCCTACCTTTATCCAACGACCTACCTCCCGAACGTTCCCACGTCTCGACGCTAGACGTCCCGACGTCATCTCTTTTATCCGACGCCCAATATCCCATCTGGCACCCTACGTCCTTACTTCTCTACCTTTCTACACTTGGCGTTCTGCGTCACGACGCTCTCTCTCCCTCACGCCGCTCTAAATTCCGATGACTACGTCTCAACGTCCCTGCTAAATTTCCCGACACAAGATAACGCTTCCGTACCGAATACAACAATATAATAGTATATTATTTAACGAGCGGAATGCAGGTCATAACTCACGCAGATGAAGTTTGCAGCACGAGCCGCAGGCGAGTTTTGACCATTACTGCAAGTTGAATACTATACTTTATCTACGACTATAACAATAAATACTAAGATACAAGTATCGAGAAAGAATTATATATAGATGATAAAAACGTTTGAATCTTTGTAAAAGCTATTACCTTTGTCTCCAGATATTTCTCATCAGGAGCTTCATTTATGAAATTATTAAGTTGTTCTGCTGTAAATGTTTTTGCCTTTTTAGCTATATGTTTTTCTGATTGACGTTTAAGAAACGCACGTAATTTTGAATAATTCTCTATATTAATTCCATTATTGATATTGAGTGTTCTTCTTAGCAAAGAGTAGAAAGTCCATAGAGACGATGCTTTATATTTATTGCTAAGTTCATTAAAATATGCCAAAGGTACATTTTCTGTAAACGAGTTACACCAATCTTGAAAATTTTAGTATACACCTTTATACTTGTTTTTTTGATTTTTCTGGTAATAAATTCTGTATTGCATTATTAGCTATCTCTCTTATTTCTGGAGGTGTACATAATAACTCATCTTCACTATCTAAATTCATCTTTTTTTAGCACTATTAGAAATTGATTTGAAAACGTCAAAATTATCTTGTTAAAATATCAAATGACTTTACTCCCCTCAATGTAATAATTGACTATTCCGCCTACTGAGAGGCGTTGACAATTTAATAATTTTAAAATCTTTTAATTATTATTTATTCCTTTCCAGTTGTTAAAAAATCTTTCTAACATTTTACGCCAATGGAACATTTATGACTTTAAAATTTCCAAGAATTTACTGCGCACACTATTTACATACCGAATTATCGTAGGAGCCCAGCGTGAGTTATAATAACTCACTATTAAAACTCACGCTATTTGTTTATTGATACTATTAATTGCTCAAAAGCAGTTGTATAATTAATAGGAGTAGATAAAATGTCTGAAATAGAAACAGACGATAATAATCCAACGGTCTGCATATCCGATGGTGAGTTAATAACTTAGCAACGAAATTAAAATTGTAAAATGGGAATTTATTGTTGGGTATAATGAGTATTATTGTGTAATTCATTATTATTCAATAATGGTCAACCTTTGTATTTGAGGAATTTGTTGCTCGCCGACATCGAATTTAGCTCGTCCAGATGTGTATGGTATGGGCCATATTGCTTTCAAATTAATATAACACCGTAAAAGATCTGGCTACCGAACTGTCAATGAACCCTCAGAAATATCTACTAACCAACAGCTTAGCTGATTGGGGTAAATGACACATCGGGCGACTAGACTCACATTTTATCTGAATATGCTTGATGTTACTACAGGGTTGGACTATCTTAGATAATTATCTCTCAATCTTCGCACCGTAGGTATATCTGAACATACGGGGTAGTTTGCTGGTATTGATCTAGCACTATTCTAGTAGGACTGCATTACATAAAACCCCCTAGGTGAGGCTGAAACATAAGGGATATCCGTCTGTTATTGCAACGACTGTATCTCAGTAAGTGCACCTATATAAGAGAGAAAACGACGAAACAAAAGAATTATTAAAGATAGTGCAATTCTGAGGACGTCTGCTATCTATTCTCAAGAATTTTTTATTATATATATTTGATGGCAAGTGGTCTTTTTTTTTGGGCGGGATACATGTGAGGTCTAGGTGAGAAATACAAGTAGATGCTCATTTTAGTTATGCAAAGTACGGTTGGGTTTAATAAAATATTTTACAGTCATTTCCTATTTAGACACGACAATCCTACAACACGGCGATCTTATAAGGCCACCGGAGAAAGATAAGTACGAAACACTCAAACGACATTAATAATTTTGCTGAATCAGAAACAAAACAAATACGAAACTTGCTCACGGATATTGAACTCGGAGATAGAAAACCTTCACAGCTGCTTCGCCAAATGAAGAATTTAGCAACGGATCGAATTAGCGAAGAAGTATTATGTACCCTCTGGTTGCAAAGATTTCCTTCTCGTGTCCAAATGGTTCTATCTGCAAGTGAAGGTGTTGATTTGCAAAAAATGGCAGCAATCGCCGATAAACATTTCTAAATAGGTGAGATAAATCTTTTTCAAAATACAGTTGAGGCTATTTCCCACTGCAACTCCGCTCCTTCCACATCAAACGAGCACTGCAGCAGACTTGAAGATAAGATTCAAGATCTAACACAAGCATTAGAGAAACTTCAGCTTGACATTTCTCGTAACAAGTGTCAAACCAATTTTAGGAATCGTTCCCATTCACGATCTAGAAATAGGGCAACCAATTCAAACTTTTGTTTCTGTCATCAGCGTTTTGGAAAGAAAGCTCGTAAATGTAATAAGCCCTGCAATTTCCAAGCAGATTTTCAACTTTCCGCAATTAGAAAAATAGATAGCCCATTAGTAAAAGAGAAGTCTGCAAGTGACAAATCTCTTATTAAAAACCGACTATTTGTTACCGATAAAAATTCTGACATGAAGTTTCTTATTGATACCGGTGCAGACGTTTCTGTTATTCCTAGATCTTGATTGGCTAAAACAATGAAACCCACATCCTTCAATCTAGATGCAGCAAATGGATACATCATCAGTACATTTGGCTATCGATTACAAAGCTTAAATTTATCACTTTGACGCCCTTTTAAATGGCAATTCATAGTTGCTGATGTGACACGTGCCATTTTAGGCACTGATTTCTGAAAACACCACGGTTTGCTCGTCGACTTACAGCAACGTAAACTAATAGGTACCACTACTCTTCTGTTTTCTATGACTAATCTTTCAAATGTAAACATAAAACTATAAGTTCAATTAACGAAACTTCTAAATTTCATGACCTTGTGGCAAAGTTTCCGGAAATCACAAGAAGTACTCCTAAACCTTCTGTAAGCAATCACACAGTTATGCATCATATTGTCACTAAAGGTCCTCCTATTGCCCGAAGACCGAGACGTTTGTCTCAGGAGAAACTCCCCATTGCCAAACTAGAATTCGACTACATGCTTCAGCAAGGAATTTGTCGCATTTCAAGCAGCTGTTGGGCGAGCCCTATTCACATGATTTCGAAGTCTCAGCCAGGAAGTTGGAGATCGTGCAGACACTACAGAAAACTTAACTCGTAAACAGTTCCTGACAAATATCCCATTTCTCATATTCAGAATTTTTCTAGTAGATTAGTTGGTTGTAAAATATTCAGTAAACTAGATCTGGTTCGAGCTTATCATGAGATTCCAGTTGCTGAACCTGACATTCCGAAAATAGCCGTAATCACTTCACTTGCCGCTCAAACATTTCAAAGATTTATGAACATCGTCCTTCAAGGTTTAAATTTTATCTACTGTTACATCGACGATATTTTATTGGTCAGTAGGAATGAAGAAGAGCATTTAGAACATATTAGTATTATCTTTTCACGGCTGCAAAATTTTGGTGTTGTACTCAAAAAGTCTTTGATGTATAAGGTACATGCAGGTAATATCGCCATCTTAAGGTTCTACTGTAATTTGGACAAAGCAACATGACTAAAAACCAAATAACTTTTACAGGTGTTTTTCCGTTGATATAAGCAACAATTTTAACATTAACTAAACTGTTTTTGTTTTCCTTTTAAAAGGGTTAAGCACTTATAAAAAAAATATTGTCCATTGGCGGTATTACCAACCCCCCGTTGGTAATAACGCCAAGTTGTTGATCTAATTGTTTAAGTATAGAAACTAATCGAAGGAATAAAAAATACAAATAATAATAAACATATAAGACATTTTCAAACATTTATTAATTTCTAAGAGCAATATGGACAAATATAAGGAACAAT